CTTCAGACGGGCCTGGACATGTACTGGCTTAAGCAGGGGGACACGTCTGGCACTGCAGGATTTGAGTCCCTGGCGGCGTAGTGTGTTACTGATGGTAGGCTTTGTTACTTTGGTCCCAGCTCTCTGCAGGTCATTCACTAGGTCCCCCCCGTGTGGTTCTGGGATTTTTGTGATCATTTTGACCCCACGGGGTGAGATCTTGCGTGGAGCCCCAGATCGAGGGAGATTATCAGTGGTCTTGTATGTCTTCCATTTCCTAATAATTGCTCCCACAGTTGATTTCTTCAAACCAAGCTGCTTACCTATTGCAGATTCAGTCTTCCCAGCCTGGTGCAGGTCTACAATTTTGTTTCTGGTGTCCTTTGACAGCTCTTTGGTCTTGGCCATAGTGGAGTTTGGAGTGTGACTGTTTGAGGTTGTGGACAGGTGTCTTTTATACTGATAACAAGTTCAAACAGGTGACATTAATACAGGTAACGAGTGGAGGACAGAGGAGCCTCTTAAAGAAGAAGTTACAGTTCTGTGAGAGCCAGAAATCTTGCTTGTTTGTAGGTGACCAAATACTTATTTTCCACCATAATTTGCAAATAAATTCATTAAAAGTCCTACAATGTGATTTTCTGGATTTTCTTTCTCAATTTGTCTGTCATAGTTGACGTGTACCTATGATGAAAATTACAGGCCTCTCTCATCTTTTTAAGTGGGAGAACTTGCACAATTGGTGGCTGACTAAATACTTGTTTTCCCCACTGTACATTCCCTTTAAATTGTTTAACTTGGGTCAAATGTTTCGGGTAGCTTTCCACAAGCTTCCCACAATAAGTTGGGTGACAGAGCTGGCCAAACAGTTATATTTTTGTTTCATCAGACCAGAGGACATTTCTCCAGAAAGTGCGATCTTTGTCCCCATGTCTAGTTGCAAACCATAGTCTGGCTTTTTTATGGTGGTTTTGGAGCAGTGGCTTCTTCTTTGCTGAGCGGCATTTCAGGTTATGTCGATATAGGACTCGTTTTACTGTGGATATAGATACTTTTGTACCTGTTTCCTCCAGCATCTTCACAAGGTCCTTTGCTGTTTTTCTGGGATTGATTTTCACTTTTCGCACCAAAGTACGTTCATCTCTAGGAGACAGAATGCGTCTCCTTCCTGAGCGGTCTGACGGCTGCGTGGTCCCATGGTGTTTATACTTGCGTACTACTGTTTGTACAGATGAACATGGTACCTTCAGGCGTTTGGAAATTGCTCCCAAGGATGAACCAGACTTGTGGAGGTCTAAAAACAAATTTCAGAGGTCTTTGCTGATTTCTTTTGATTTTCCATGATGTCAAGCAAAGAGGCACTGAGTTTGAAGGTAGCCCTTGAAATACTTCCACAGGTACACCTCCAATTGACTCAAATAATGTCAATTAGACTATTTGTCACGCTCTGGCTCCGGGACTGTGTAGTTTGAGCCAGGGTGTATTCATTTGGTTGTGTTGGGTATAGGGTGTGTTCATTTGGTTGTGTTTGGTTTTGGTTGTAGTGTCTTGTCTCGTCATGTGACTCCCAATCGGAGGTAAAGAGTGTCAGCTGTCGGCTCGTTATCTCTGATTGGGAGCCATATTTAAACTGTCAGTGTTCACCTTAGGGTTGTGGGTTTTTGTTCCATGTTTCAGTCTGTGTACTGAGGACTTCACTATCCGTCATTGTTTATTGTTTTCTCGTTCGTGCACTTTAACTTTAATAAAGTCATGTTCGCTACAAACGCTGCGCTTTGGTCCACTCCTTCCGTAGACGGCCGTGACAGAAAAACCCACCACAAAAGGACCAAGCAGCGTATACAGGAACACCCGCAGGAGAGAACGCTGGTGGATGTCCTCCTCGGCTGGGGACATATTACGCAGGAGGAGGCCGTCCGGTACCGGAGGGCGATGAAGGGGGAGAACCTGGCAGGAGAGGAGCAACGGCGTCAGCAGGGCCATCGTCGGATGGAAGAGAGGCAACCCAAAAAAATTTTTGGGGGGGGGCACATGGCTTGGGCGGCTGGGCAGCAGGCGGCTGCTACAGGACGGTTTGGAGAGGTGGTCACCGGGTGTTGGGAGGCAGAAGGCAGGTTGGCGAGGCCTGGAGGTAGAGCGGAACCAACTTCCCGTACTCAGGCATGGCAGCATGGGACGGGGCAGTCCTGTACGTCCTGTGCAAGCACCCCGCACGTGTCGTGCGAAGGGGGGGATGCAGCCAGGACGGAGTGTGCCGGATCTACGCTCGAGGTCTCCAGTGCCTCTCCGCGGTCCCGGATATCCTGCTCCCGTATCGCGTGCTGTCATGTCGGTACGGGTTCACAGCCCTGTACGTCCTGTGCGGATGCCTCACGCAGAGTGTGTGAGGGTAGGCATCCAGCCGGGACGGGTGGTGGCCGCTCTTCGCTCCAGGTCTCCTATCCGTCTCCACAGTCCGGTGAGGCCTGTCCCAGCTCCACGCACCAAACCTACGGTGTGCGTCGCCAGCCCAGCCCGGCCTGTTCCTGCTCCACGCACTAAACCTACGGTGTGCGTCGCCAGCCCAGCCCGGCCTGTTCCTGCTCCACGCACTAAACCTACGGTGTGCGTCGCCAGCCCAGCCCGGCCTGTTCCTGCCACCCGCACCAAGTCTACGGTGCGCGTCGCCGGCCCGACCCGGCCTGTTCCTGCCACTCGCACCAAGCCTACGGTGCGCGTCGCCAGCCCGGTCCGGCCTGTTCCTGCCACCCGCACCAAGTGTACGGTGCGCGTCGCCAGTCCGACCCGGCCTGTTCCTGCCACTCGCACCAAACCTACGGTGCGCGTCGCCAGCCCGGTCCGGCCTGTTCCTGCCACCCGCACCAAGTGTACGGTGCGCGTCGCCAGCCCGACCCGGCTTGTTCCTGCCACTCGCACCAAACCTACGGTGCGCGTCGCCAGCCCGGTCCGGCCTGTTCCTGCCACCCGCGCCAAGTCTACGGTGCGCGTCGCCAGCCCGACCAGGCCTGTTCCGGCTCCACGCACCAGGCAAAGGGTGCGTATCGTCTGCCAGTTCCGGTCCATTCCTACCTCACGCGCCAAGCCAGGGGTGCGCGTCGGAGGTCCTGATCCAGCAAGCTGGGTCAGATCGGACCGGGGGCACTACGGGGGGAGTGAAGTGGGGTGGTGGTCAAGCCCGGAGCCGGAGCCGCCTCCGAGGAGCAACACCCACCCAGCCCTCCCCTATTTTGGGGTGTAGGCGCGGTCGGAGTCCGCGCCTTTAGGGGGGGGGTACTGTCACGCTCTGGCTCCGGGACTGTGTAGTTTGAGCCAGGGTGTATTCATTTGGTTGTGTTGGGTATAGGGTGTGTTCATTTGGTTGTGTTTGGTTTTGGTTGTAGTGTCTTGTCTCGTCATGTGACTCCCAATCGGAGGTAAAGAGTGTCAGCTGTCGGCTCGTTATCTCTGATTGGGAGCCATATTTAAACTGTCAGTGTTCACCTTAGGGTTGTGGGTTTTTGTTCCATGTTTCAGTCTGTGTACTGAGGACTTCACTATCCGTCATTGTTTATTGTTTTCTCGTTCGTGCACTTTAACTTTAATAAAGTCATGTTCGCTACAAACGCTGCGCTTTGGTCCACTCCTTCCGTAGACGGCCGTGACACTATTAGAAGCTTCTAAAGCCATGAAATCTTTTTCTGGAATTTTCCTAGCTGTTTAAACTTCTGACCCACTGGAATTGTGATACAGTGAATATAAGTGAAATAATCTGTCTGTAAACAATTCTTAGAAAGATTACTTGTGTCATGCACAAAGTAGATGTCCTAACCGACTTAACAAAACTATAGTTTGTTAACAAGAAATTTGTGGAGTGGTTGAAAAACGAGTTTTAATGACTCCAACCTAAGTGTATGTAAACTTCTGACTTCAACTGTACATACATTCAAAGTCCCAGGAAGATGGATGGGGATACCAGTACAAAGTACATTTTAATTAGGTTATAATACTGCTACATGAAAGAGATCCCCAACAGGGTGAGGGCAGAGGGCACAGCACTCAGCGGGGACACCCTCCACCTTTTCATCCATCTCCTCTTCATCATCTTCATCTTCATGGCCATTGGTGTTGTCACAAGTTAGCTATGAGTAACAGATGAAGCTAACCAAGGAGTTAAACTTTTCTAAGTCCTTAGTTAGCATTAGCGCAATAAGGAAAACTTCTCTACTCCATTCATACTGTTCAGTCTCTAGGTTGAATTTTCTCTGTCAGTCTTGCTTGTGCTTCTAACATGAACTTTGTATTTCTTAGCCATCATTAGTATCTAAACCTCTTCTTGTTCATGATGGAATCATTGTTTTCCATTTTCTTCTACTTTTGAGGAGGTGGGATCCAACACAAGTAGGCCTATATTGTCAAGAACTTTCAAGTCAAGCATTTCACTCACCCTAATAAAGTATGTTTTCTGTGATTTTACTTATAATATGTCAGAGAAAATATGAGGACATAGTGCTCTCACATTTCAACAAAGGAGGTCAGATTGGGTTATCATCTCCAAACTCATATTTCTGCCCATGCAATTTACTATTGTCCTACTTTGTGCAAGCTTGTTTGACACAATGGTAAATGCCTCTTATCTATTACCAACATAGTTTATTCTTGCATACTGATAGATCATTCTTCTTCTGTCACGGGCAACAGATCACACTCATCCCCCTCTCGTGTGAGTGGTTTAAAGTTTCTCCTCTCCAACTCTGATTGGTCGACCAACTTGCGCTCACAGGCAAAAAACTTCAGATGACTCCTCTCTTTATGCACTACGATCAGGGAGTCAGAATAGAAGTAGGGACACTCCTTTAAAAGTGTAGCTGGAACTATATTTTCAGCAAGAAGAGGAGGCTACCGCGCTATGGAGGTTGCCAAGAACAGCCAAAGACAATTTGCTTAGATAGGGGATAGTGGAGATTCCCATGTATAAAGGTTGAAGGGACTGCATCTTTGGAACATTTACGTTTTTCTCAAAGTCGTAGCAGCTACTGAAGGAAATGGCTATTTCTTGGATTTACAAAGTTTGGATCCTACTCTTACCCATTGACAGCACTCTGTCCAGTTATTCTGATGACCAATGCAGCTGGAGAGGGAGGCAAGTATCACTTTATAACGGTTTATTCAAGTTCATTTGTTTTATGTAGAACCATTCGGATTTTTTTCTAAAATGTAGCAAGGTGCAAAATAAAATTGCGTTTTTATTCGTTCTGAATGTATTTGAGTTCCGTTCAGCTTTGGTGGTCAAATATCGCACCTTAGTTGAATCAATACAGGACAGTTGGGCGCAATTAAATGTTTCCAGTGCTTTGCAACAAAGTATCACGCGCGCCTTGGGGTTGCAGTCTTGCAGAGTGAGCTGGAGAGAGTTATGCCGTTAAAAAACAATGATTTTATATTAATTGCACATTTTTTATTCCCATTTATAAAACCAAATGCCAGGTCATGTTTGGCGGTTTAAATTACCACTACACGCTGTAAAGTCAGTCACCTTTTTTAATGACACCGACGCGCTCCTTTGGTGACCAATAGGCGGCGCTCCTTTTTTCTGCAAATGGAAACCTCAGTTCAATGTCTATTTTGAAAGCCTGTTTTAATCGTTTTCAAATGATGTACTTAAAATTAGTAAAATGCACTCCAAGCAAAATCTCCAGCTTAAAAGGTTAATCTGTTGTCATTCATTCATTCAATTATTTGATGGTCCTCTGTAGCTCAATTAGTAGAGCATGGCGCTTGTAATGCCAGGGTAGTGGGTTCAATCCCCGGGACCACCCATACATAAAAATTTACGCACGCATGACTGTAAGTCGCTTTGGATAAAAGCCTCTGCTAAATGGCATATTATATTTGATGTTGCAAGCTCTCCCTCAGTCCCTCTCAAGTTCCCCCACATCTAAAGCCCTATACCCAAACCACACATCCTGCAATGTTCAGTGCAATTTCCTTCATGGTTTTTGAGAAAATTGCACCACATCCTACAAGTGGTATATTGGTGACTCCTATTTCAGCCAAGAGGACAAGTTCTGAGGACTAGTCTGTCTGGCTTTGGAGGTCATAGAAGTCCACTTATATAACTATCTCCTTTCTCTCTCTCCATCTTTTCATCCGATAGTGGTCTGTCCCAGCAGCAAGGCAGTGTGGAGCAGATCTCCCTCCACTGTTCTGAGGGTGCTCTGGACTGGCTCTATCCTAAGGGGGCGCTCCGCCTCACCCTGTCCCCCAGGTTGCCCTCTGCAGTGGTGGGGCCCGGGGGAAGCAGCTCGGGCCTGATCACGGCCTGCGTCAAGCCCTCAGAGCACTTCCACGGGGCCCAGCTCTACTTGGAGAGAGACGGGGTCCTGGAGCTCCTGGTAGGGGATCGTCTGGAGGAGTCTCCCCCGCCCCGGGTGCGCTGCTTCAGCCGCCTGCCCGGCGAGAAGGTGGCCCTCTTCCTCCAGGCCACGCCCCATCAGGACATCAGCCGCCGCATTGCATCTTTCCGCTACGAGCTGCGAGGGGATTGGACGGTGCACCTGTCACTCGACTCGAACCCCGTCAGCAGTAATGAAGGTGAGTTGGACCAAGGAGGGAGGCAGCCATGTTGGATCAGTCTGGGTCATGGAAGGGTCATTTGGGCTGAAATAGATAGACATAAGGGTGAACTATAAAGATTTCTCTCATCGCAAAGCAAGGAAAAGATAGTGTTACATTTGTTTTGAATATGCTCCTTGAGGGTTGATTGGCCTAACAAACAACTTTTAGAATTTGTTTTAGCTCAGATTCGATAATTCAATTCTCCTCTCCCCCACATACTTCCTGTATTTCTCTTTGTGTGGGTCTCTGAGTCATATTACATATATTTAGTCAAACCCCCCTAAAGATGTTTCCGCGCAAACAGACCTGCTTTTTGGGGTTCATTTTCAGTTTTCTCTGTGTCCAGGCAGAGTAGAGTGGGGGTCCTCTAGTTTCCCTGGAAGCATAGGTCTACAGAGCCTGTCCCCTGGTTTAGATTTGAAGGGGAATGGAGGGGGAGGGGGAGGGGGAGGGTTAGGGGGGGACAAAAGCCCAGTATGTGGGGCCTTCTCTCCAGAGCCCACAGCTTTCAATGGGGAGTGTTCTGAGATTACTGCCGTTGCCTTGGAGACAGGGAGACCTCTGCCCCAGCTGAGATGCTCCTCTCTTTTGTTGAGCGGCCCCTCTTTAAAGAGATTTGTCTCTAGGAATACACCCCCTCCCCGCTCTAGAGTCTACACACACACACTGGCTGGGCATGTGGGGAGGTTTGCTCTATGGGCCAGTGAGGAGGCAGGAATCTCATTTATCAGACATTTTCACTATGAAGGGGGCAGCTAGGAGGGTTGGGGGGTGAACTTCTTGGAACTTACAAGGCCAGCAGAACTAAAAAAAAATGGCAGGGTGTTTTTGTGCAGTCAATTCAATGCAGCCAGGGTTTGGTGGTTTGGTTTCACTCTGCGTCCCTTTCTTGTGGCCATCTGTGGACTGGGTCCTTGTCTGAAATGGAGGAGGATGTATTTGATTTTCCACAGTGAAGTTTTTAAATTGATAAACAGCTGTGAACAGTAGCGGTGCGTTGGTAAAATCACTGGGAAGCCAAGCCAGGAAAAAGCCATATTACAATCTATTTTGTGATAATTGCGTTGTTTGCTGGATAACCCATCCATTGATACACCACTATGATATACATTAAGGCAGAGACAACAAAAATACAAGTCACACAGTGGCGGAATAAATTCAACCACACACACCTGTTTCATCACAAAACCAGAGAGCAACATCTATCTGGTGAAGTCCACAAAGCAAATATTGCATGCAAAACAGTTGCTTAACCATGTTGTAGGTCATGTAAGTCAGCACAAAGAAAACAGGAGCACTGCCTCCGCTATTCCATTTCATTTCATTTCAACTTAAACATTTAAACATCATCAAATCAACTAGGCTATATTGTATATGATTAGCCTAATACAATGAAAACAAACTTAAAGATATCAAAACTATTTAGTCCAATCAATGTTGCTAAATATCATGTGGTTGTCCATTGTACTGATTTCTGTGTGTGTGTGCGCGCGCAAGTAGAAAAAGCATGTTGACTCACCCTACTTGTAGACTAGATGAACACCAATGCCATCCTCCTCGCGTTCATGTCTATGACTGTCATACAGTAGTACACGATTTTAGTTTTTGATGTCCAAGAGTAGGCTACCTGGCTAAAATGCTTGCTAGCCTAACTTTCTCACATGGGCAACAATGAACCAGCTAAGTTAGCTAGCTTGTTAATGTGAGCCTACTACATCTAGGCTATATATTGAACTTCAATCGTCTCTGGCCAGTGGCACAATGAATGAATTTATGGTTAGATCAGAATAGCCATTCTAATCATTGGCCTGTACGGAGAATTTAAGTAAAAACACCAAGTCCAAATCCCCATCTCCATCCATGGCTTAGGAAAGGGCCAATTTAGCTAGCTAGCTACTGCAGGACAACAGCATGTCACGAGCAGACCAGAAACCATTTTGTTTTCGGACAATTACGTTTTGCTTTTGATGTGATTTGATTGGTGTGATGCCTAATCCAAACTGCTGCACCAGGACCACCGACTGTTGAGCTAATAAATTTTTTTATCAACTGAGGCCAAATGCTCGCTGGCATCAATCAATCAAAATGTTACGGCGGCAACATGTCATACTATTTTTGTCCAGACAGCATCCAGATGCATGGGCTACACATATTGAGACAGAGAGGCGCTGTTTCCCTCGCTTCGATGATTTCTCCAGTGAGATCGATACAACCAATTGCGAATTGAAGGACAATTATGAAAACACAGACAGACGAAGATACATTATCTTATAATTTTTGGGGAAGCCTGGCTTCCCTTGGCCTCCATGAATACACGCCACTGGCTGTGAATGAAGCCGTCACAACACCTAGGAAGGAAGTGCCTTCTGAAAAAGTGGCGCTTTGCCCATTTTAAATCTTTTAAAGTTCTCCACCCTCCTCTCTCGCCCCTGTCTGGTTGACTTTTATGAGGTGTGGGTGCAGACACCCTAGCAGGATCTAGGGTGGGGGTGGGAGGTAGGGGGGCTGTTTCATTTAGCTTTAAAAACGTCTGGGGCAAGTGGAGTCTCGCACCTTTTTAAGTTTCACTGGCCTTCCTCGCCGAACCGTAAAGTAGCAGCTGTCTGAACACTGCAGTGTGTGTGTGCGTGCGTGTATCTCTTTGCATGTGGTTTGTTCAGTACCTGGCTATTCACATCATGCCTCCAGAGCATTTGATCTTCGTTATAAGCTTCTTTCCAACCTTTTTCAAGTGTCCGTTAAGTGTGCAACAGGATAGGTTAAAGCTCAACACATTACATAAAGCTTTGTTATAACATGAAAAAATAAAGTAGGTATGACATGGTTATGTGGTTTACAATATCAAACAAGGGAGTAAGCGAAGAGTGGATGGAATTGCCATTTGTTTGATTAGTGGAGCTTTCCAACTGACTGGTTCTTTCTTCCTCTCTCTCCCCAGGTGCCTGCAGACCCTGTAACAACACAGAGCTCCTTATGGCCGTCTGCACCAGTGACTTTGGTGAGCTCTTCTCTTTTACAACCTCCTGTTTTGTTGTCCGGGGTGCCGTATAACAATAAAATAACATTCCAGACCAGGAACAGTTTGGCAGAGGTGTGGACTCGAGTCACATGACTTGGACTCGAGTCTGACTCGAGTCACAAATTTGATGACTTGAGACTCAACTTGATACAGAATAAAATAACTTGACTTGGAGCCTCAAGACTCTGGACTTGACTTTGACTGGAGACTTGAAATTATCTGGCCAGGGTTTGTCACTTATTTTGTGGCACTTCAAGAGCAAAAAAATCAAACAAGCAATATATCATGACAGGTCAACCAACAGAGGCCAAGCATTTGAAAGCTGCATCCTCCGAAGATTTATGGCGATCCGCTCTCTTGACAATTTAACCATTTGCGCTTCCCCGATCCTATAGCTGTACAGCAAATCAACAATCTGTTCGCTAGATCGATCAGTGGTTCTCAAACAATCACTGCGCAAATGTGGCCTGTCATTACAGCCATAAATGGTGATGCATTTTCAAAACGCAAGATACAGAAATAAACTACGTTTTACATCTGCATATTGAGCCTAACGTGATTTGAGACTCGGACCTTGTGATTTGAGACTTGCATGTGACTCGAATAATGGTGACTTGGTCCCACCTCTGCAGTTTGGTGTCACACTGCATTTTCTACCCCAATTCAATACTACATTTACTTCAATACAAAATGGTTAGAAAAGCCATTCAGTTGCAGCCAAAAAAAGTAATCATTTTGTGTCAGGATTCAGGAACTACAAATTGGTTGTACCGAATCATCTTAAAGTGAGGGTACCCTAGGTCTAAGGTTGGACCGACAGTGATCTAAATCCAAATCCCCCCCCCCCCCCCCCCGAACTACTTAATGTATGCAGAGGTGAAACAGCACAACTTTTTTCCTCTCCAGTTCCCTGAAGTTTCCCCCCTGAGACAGTGCAGTGGACTAATCCGTATGGCTCTAATTCAGCCATAATCGGACTGAATTATGTCAGAGGGGATTATAGAACTGTTCCAGGAAGCTCTCAATACTAATTTAACTGACTCTAACTAATGTTAGCCTCTGGTGGGCTAGGATCCTAGTTACTTGTTAATTACTTCAGCTGTTTTTTGACAGCTAAAAGGTGACCGGTTTCCCAGCAATTTCAAATATGTTTTTAGAATGTGAAGAGCAGGTATTTAAGAAAATTACATTAATTCAAAGATATGTCCTCCACCAACTTAGTCCACATTTTGTTGAACTATGATCTTCATATTTGTAACAGCTGTTACAAACTAATCTGGTCAATAGAGCTTGTGACTGACTAACTGGTATGTCTCTTCTCCCCACAGTGGTGCGTGGTAACATCAAGGCGGTGGATGAGGACAGTGAGCTACGGGCGGCGGTAATCAAGGTCAGCGCCACCCGAGTATTTCGCCAGAAATATGCCCTGTTCACCGGGACAGGCCGTCTGACCCTCTCAGGCGAGATCAGGACCCTGCTGCAGTGCGGTGTCCGGCCCGGGGCAGGAAGCTTCCTCTTCACCGGCCGAGTACACTTTGGCGAGTCATGGCTGGGCTGCGCGCCCCGCTACAAGGACTTCCTCCAGGCCTACACTCAGGCCAAGTTGGCCCAGCAGCTACCCTGTGAACTGGCTGTGGACTGAGCAGAACCACCCCAAATCTCGGCTGACTACTCCCCTGAAATAGGGCTTGCCTCACAAGACAGCCTTAACTCGATCAGCCTGTCCTCTTGTTTGCCAAACCTCACAGTGAAAGGTGAAGAAGATGGAAGCCTACCCGATGGTGTAACTGTGGGCCAATCCTGCCATGAAGGTCCTGTTGGATGCAGTCTTCCCCAAAGGACTGAGGAGTTGGGCATGGACATTCGTAGCAACATTCCCAGTGCAATATGCAGTCCTGTGGAGATATGAAGGACACTGTGGACTAGATGAGATTAAATCATTTGGCACTGGACAAATGTTCCAGATGCCAAAATGCTTATTCGGAATTCTCAGAAGAGCTTTCTGTAAGAACAAGCAACAATTTGTCAGGCATGGATTCAGAGCTATTGAGTGTGACTTTGTCTTTTAAACTCAGGAAAATATGTGAAAAACTCTGTGGTGAAGTTAGTCTGTTTAGAAGTTACACAATTGCTATCCCAGTGTTTAACCACAAGGCTGTGGTGTTCTTCTATGGTAGTCTTCAAAATGGCCATTCATTTTCTTAAATGTTTTGACAAGTTTGGGAAATCTACAATTTTGTGTCCAAGATTTCCGCACAAATGTGTAGCTGAAACAAACAATGGTGGACTATTCTCAGTGTTACGATTCTTTATTGGAGATTAGGGAGGGGCTTTATGTTTTCAATATTTTATTTTTTAAAATCGTAATTTGCACTGATAAGGGAAAGGGAATGATCTGGAAAATCTGATGCTGCAAGCACTGAAAACCAAATGAAAAGCTGATTATGTAGCGTAGAAGAGGCGTAATTAGAACTTAATATATGTACAGCTATTGCTAGCGCATGTTAGTGCTAGGCTAGGGCTGGCGCATGTTAGTGCTAGGCTAGGGTTGGCGCATGTTAGCGCTAGGCTAGGGCTGGCGCATGTTAGCACTAGGGTTAGCACATATTAGCTCTAGGCTAGGGCTAGCACATGTTAGTGCTAGGCTAGGGCTAGCACATGTTAGCACTAGGCTAGGGCTAGTGTAGAAGGTTCGAAGCTCGCTTCTCTCTAGTGCTGAAAGCACTTTCACGATATTAGTCAAGTCTGAGATCATTTTTCTCTAAGTACCCACAGGATAATTCTGCCTTTTAGAACCCTGCATACATATTTATATGCTGATTTGATTTTAATTTGAAACCTTTTTTTCGAGTTGAACATAATAATTTTGCAGCAGTGTTTCCCATTACAGCCATTTTGTAGCTATTCATACCCATTTTCCACATTAAAAAATGTACCAACTGTAAGCCTAAGAAAAGCTGTCTACAAAAAGCTGCAAAATTCTACCAAAACTGATGTCTTGATAATGAATTGCTATAAGGCCTACTGGCCCAGATTTATGTCATAGTTTGAAGTTCAATAACAACTGTATTAATGGGAGTTTGGCAGGAAATTGTTTAAGTTTGTGGGACTACAACTGTTGACAACTGCAATATTCCCCTTAGTAAAAGTCCAATGGGATATGTCTCAAAGCTGGCAGAAAGAGTTGCAGTAGCTACCTAGTTTTCACAAGCATGTGTCCGAAATGTTGATAGCCATGTTGAGCCGTGAAAACCTCAAACAATTTAGTCCAAATATCAATACTGAATTCTTCAAGCAATATTCAATGTATTTGCGTAATACTCTTTCAACCAGCTTTGGGGTTAGCAGTAAGTATCTCTGGACTATTTTACGAGGGGGACAAAACATGTTAATGGCAATTCTGGCCAGTCAAAAGATGTCACGTCTTATGTGCACTAATCGATTAAACGGTTAATATCAAATTAACATGATGTGCTGGAGTGGTATGTAAAAAAGAAATGCGCAGTACTGCCATGTTTGCTGATATTGTCAATTATTTCTATGTGAGTGTGATTTTGTGTTCATACCAATGTTAATATGTAAATAAGAACATCTAGAAACAAAAAACTACTTATGGAGGGGGAAAAAACATTGGTTCATTATTGTGGAGTGTTTATATGTGGTCTGTAACATAAAGTCTGAAAAGCTCATTCGAATATCATGGATTTTTCTTTAATCTCTGCATGGTTGCTTCTTTGACTAACTTTTATAGTGAAATTATATAGTTTTATAATTGTCCTCTCTCATGCACACATCTTTAAAACATTAGGCTAACTCACACTACAGATGAAAAACATGGCCCTATTTTATTACACTGATTCAAACCGCAACCTCTAGTTGTCACTTGGATATGCAGTGGGGGAAAAAAGTATTTAGTCAGCCACCAATTGTGCAAGTTCTCCCACTTAAAAAGATGAGAGAGGCCTGTAATTTTCATCATAGGTACACGCCAACTATGACAGACCAATTCAGAAAAAAAAATACAGAAAATCACATTGTAGGATTTTTAATGAATTTATTTGCAAATTATGGTGGAAAATAAGTATTTGGTCACCTACAAACAAGCAAGATTTCTGGCTCTCACAGACCTGTAACTTCTTCTTTAAGAGGCTCCTCTGTCCTCCGCTCGTTACCTGTATTAATGGCACCTGTTTGAACGTGTTATCAGTATAAAAGACACCTGTCCACAACCTCAAACAGTCACACTCCAAACTCCACTATGGCCAAGACCAAAGAGCTGTCAAAGGACACCAGAAACAAAATTGTAGACCTGCACCAGGCTGGGAAGACTGAATCTGCAATAGGTAAGCAGCTTGGTTTGAAGAAATCAACTGTGGGAGCAAATATTAGGAAATGGAAGACATACAAGACCCCTGATAATCTCCCTCGATCTGGAGCTCCACGCAAGATCTCACCCCGTGGGGTCAAAATGATCACAAGAACGGTGAGCAAAAATCCCAGAACCACACGGGGGGACCTAGTGAATGACCTGCAGAGAGCTGGGACCAAAGTAACAAAGCCTACCATCAGTAACACACTATGCCGCCAGGGACTCAAATCCTGCAGTGCCAGACGTGTCCCACTGCTTAAGCCAGTACATGTCCAGGCCCGTCTGAAGTTTGCTAGAGTGCATTTGGATTATCCAGAAGAGGGTTGGGAGAATGTCCTATGGTCAGATGAAACCAAAATAGAACTTTTTGGTAAAAACCCAACTCGTCGTGTTTGAAGGACAAAGAATGCTGAGTTGCATCCAAAGAACACCATACCTACTGTGAAGCATGGGGGTGGAAACATCATGCTTTGGTGCTGTTTTTCTGCAAAAGGACCAGGACGACTGATCCGTGTAAAGGAAAGAATGAATGGGGCCATGTATCGTGAGATTTTGAGTGAAAACCTCCTTCCATCAGCAAGGGCATTGAAGATGAAACGTGGCTGGGTCTTTCAGCATGACAAAGATCCCAAACACACCGCCCGGGCAACGAAGGAGTGGCTTCGTAAGAAGCATTTCAAGGTCCTGGAGTGGCCTAGCCAGTCTCCAGATCTCAACCCCATAGAAAATCTTTGGAGGGAGTTGAAAGTCCGTGTTGCCCAGCGACAGCCCCAAAACATCACTGCTCTAGAGGAGATCTGCATGGAGGAATGGGCCAAAATACCAGCAACAGTGTGTGAAGACTTACAGAAAACGTTTGACCTGTGTCATTGCCAACAAAGGGTATATAACAAAATATTGAGAAACTTTTGTTATTGACCAAATACTTATTTTCCACCATAATTTGCAAATAAATTAATAAAAAATATTTTTTTCCCTCATTTTGTCTGTCATAGTTGACGTGTACCTATGATGAAAATTACAGGCCTCTCTCATCTTTTTAAGTGGGAGAACTTGCACAATTGGTGGCTGACTAAATACTTTTTTTCCCCACTGTATGTGGGATAAAGGACTGAAGCTTTTCCAACAATGTTAAGTCACTATAAGTGTCCTTATCGCTGAGGGCCCAAAATGAATTGCTTGAATGAAAGAGGGAGCGAAAGTAGAGATTTAGAGGGGTGCAAACAGACCCAAGGGGCTGCAGGGAGGCTGGAAAGGAGGGTTGGAATTCTGTTGCGCTCCGACTCCCGTTTTCAGGATTCAGGAAGCAATAAATTACAATTTAAGGGAGCAGTGTTCGGAGCGGGCAGGGAGGAATGGAGATGCTGCAATCGCTCACTCTGTCCTCATGCCAGTCAGCCAGGTTTCAAGGGTTATATACTCGCTCTCAAACAACAGAAAACAAGACTGAGCACATAGTGCCTTGAACACCCCTTGAATAATTCCATATTTTGTTGCTACAGCCTGAATTCAAAATATTTTTTTTCCCTCACCCATCTACACGCAATACCCCATAATGACAAAGTAAAAACATGTTTTTAGAAATTGTTGCTAATTTATTGAAAATTAAATACAGAAATATCTAATTTACATAAGTATTCACACCCCTGTGTCAATACTTTGTAGAAGCACCTTTGGCGGCGATGAAAGCGTTGAGTCGTCTTGGGTATGTCTGTATCAGCTTTGCACGTCTGAATTTAGGGATTTTCTCCCTTTTATCATTGCAGATTTTCTCAAGCTCTGTCACATTCTTGTTCTGAAGCCATTCCAGCATTGCTTTGGATGTCTGCTTGGGGTCATTGTCCTGTTGAAATGTAAATCTTCACCCCAGTTTAAGGTAGTTTGCACTCTGAAGCGGGTTCTCATCAAGAATTTGACTGTTTTGGCTCCAATCATTGTTCTCTCTATCCTTACTAGTCTCACAGTCCCTGCCGCTGAAAAGCATCCCCATAGCATGATGCTGCCACCACCATGCTTCACGGTAGGGATGGTGTTAGATGGGTGATGAGCTGTGCCTGGTTTTCTTCAGACATAGCGCCTTACATTCAGGCCAAAGAGTTCCATTTCTGTCTCATCAGACCACATAATCTGCCTAAGTCTTTCATGTGTCTGTTTGCCAACTCCAGGCATGCTGTCAGGTGCCTTTTTCTCAGGATTGGCTTCCTTCTGGCCACTCTCCCATAAAGCCCATATTGGTCAAGTGCTGTAGAGACTGTTATCCTTCTGGCAGGTTC